ATCATCAAAAGTGAGTTGTCTCAAAATTAAATCTGGAATCTGGAAAGAGACTGACGGCCCAGACATGAAATATCCATGTAGTTAGTTGTGGGTCACATCATTTTAAAGAGCAAACATTTAACCACATTTAAAAGTTTGCTTTTATAAATGATGTGTGCCACAAATAGCTACATGGATATCTCATGTCTGGGCCATCAGATCAGCGCACAATCTTCATTCTTCAAATCAAGCCATAGTAATACAGACCGTGTTCCACCCAGTTGGACTATGAGTCAGTGTTAATGTGTTCTTCAACATAACATTTGGTTTATTTTATCTATTCACTCTGATCTAATGTTTGCCTTTTCTCAATTGTTAATTCCTAAAGTTTTTTTCTTCTCAGGTGTCTAAAAGTAACTGAGATAAAAACAAGGGAGAAAGAAGTCACTCACTGTTTGAAATGTTCACATCCAGCGAAATAGCAACCACGGACATTGCTTCATATTACATCATTCTGTTAAAACTTTCTCAACAAGACAAACTCTGCAGTAATAACTCGAAAGTAGTTTGTGTAATTTGTTGTAACAGATCATTTTATTAAAAAAGATGTATTTGTATAGATGCAGAAATGTTTAAATACAATCTAAAACTATTCTTTTATATATTTATATTTTTTTTCACAATACTGGGACTTGACTACTGTTTAAAACAATTTGCATCTAGTTACAATTCTATGACCAAGTAGCAGTTAGCACGGAAGGTATGACAAAAGCATAGTGTAGAGTTTGTATACAAATACACACTGCACAAACAATAAAACACACATATCTGAAAAATTCTGGTTTGTTCCACTTCCTCATAAATAGTGTAAATTCAACAACGTGAAGAAGGAGTGTGTTTGTAATCGGTCACCTGCACAACAGAAGTTCTCTGTTAAGGTCTTCATAAATACAACAAAAATACTTTTTTTCTGATCAAAATCCTTATCACACACACACACATTAGTTTTTCTTGAGTGTTTTCAGTTTGAGTCCTCCAGACTGCTGCTCTTCTGTTCCGAGCCGCAGTTGCAGAGTCGGACCATGATGCTCTGCAATCTGGGCTCCACGATACCAAGCAGTGGCCTCTGGGAGGGGTCCCCGTTCCAGCAGGCCTCCATCAGCTGCCAGCACTCCTCGTCGAAACTAGACAGCCGCTCTGGTCGGGCACCTGGAGACGACACAGACACATGTCCCTGGACAGTCAACATCAAGGCCTCACTTTGTGGACAGACAACCTGTTGATCAAACTCTGGTTTGGACTAAATAACTGGCCCCAAACCATCAAAATCAGATTTTGTTAACTGTTAGTTTGTATAGTGAAAATAATGAAAAACCGCAGGATTTTATAAAATCAAGTGTGTAATTTTTACATGAATTTAAAAGCAAAACTACAAATAATTTAATGTATCTTGTTGCCATGATGCAGTGCAAGAGCCTGGTCACAAGTTTAAATAAACTGCAGGAAACTCCACCTTCACTGATTTTTAGCTTTTGTTTGAACTATTTAGAGATTTACCTTCATGATCCTTTTGGAGGCTGTGGTTATGTTGGACTGTATCTCAATATACTGACAGTTCCTGTCATTTTATCCAGCACATTCATCCCAATGAGGGTGGACTAAATAACAGAAACACCTCTAAAAAACTGCAGTTTTACTATAAGCTGCTTCTTAACTATTCCGATAGTTATCATAAACACTGAAACCTGTCTCTTATGTAATGAACACTAAGACTCCAGAGAATATAAAAAACACATTGGAGGATTGAAGTTTCACTGGAAATTCATTATTTCACGTGAGTCAACTGATGATTTAGTGTCATGTTTACAGCCTTTGATTCATTTGTCTGTTGAACATAAACAAGACCCGAACTAAAAGGCCACAATATAAAGAATATTTACAGTTGTGAATGCAACCACAGTGTTGTTGCAATTTACTATGTTCTCTGTATACAATACATAACAATATACCACCAATACACCATTTCTGTTATAGAGAAATAATTATCATGTCTGTCAACATCTTATATATCCGTTTACTGAATATGTATAATTTCTTCCACTTGAGTAATGTCTGTTAATACCATATTTATTCTATTCTTTTTTTACTTAAGATGCTTTTATACCTACTGCATTCTAAATTACACTTGTGAGTTAGATGCAATGTCATCTTGTTCTCCCGTCTTGTGTGTGTGGTCTGAATGACAATAAAATGAATCTTGAATCTTGTTTACCTTTTTTAACATTAGTCCAGAGCTGGTCCTTGCTGGAACACTTCTCAAAGGCTTCTGGGAGTTTTACTGAACCCGTGCAGAGGTACCAGAACAGGATCCCGAAGGCATAGACGTCGACGGAGTTATCATACTTTCCTGTCAGGAAAAGAGCAGTTGGGTTTAAATCTGGTGTAAAGATGTAATGAGACCTACAGGTTGTGGTTCCTCTTAAGTTAATAAAGAAAGAATGTGACAGAAACATTTTTCAGCCACTGGCAGGAGGTTTTTTTCCCACACAGTTTTGACCAATTCAATTGTTTTGAAGTTGTCCCTCAGGAGCAGCTTCATGATGTGATTACTGTCAGGGTGATGGCTCAGTGATCGTACCTGTAAACAGCTCTGGAGCCATGTGGATGGGGGTCCCTACGATGCTCCCAGACATCATGGCCTCTGGTTTACAGAAGCCAAGGTCTGTGATCTTTGCACGATTTTGTTTATCCAGCTAGAAGAAAAAGAGAGAAAGAGTGGATGTTTGTTTGGTCAGGTAGAAAAGAAAAAAAACCTAATATCAGTGTATTTATTAAATGGAAAGATGCTGTGAGAACTACATGGAGCAGTTCCAGCCTTTCAAAACAAAGAAAACACGATGTCCCCATGATACTATTTGATAAGCACAGCATTTACTGTGATGTTGATTTCATTTCTACTTTTCAGATAATAGAAACTATTATATTGCGCCAAACTGTTTGCTCATTGTGGGAACTGTTGGGTTTCTCTATATTAAATACGATTTTAAGGTCTTGACCTTCTATGTAAAGTGCCTTGAGATAATGTATATTATGATTTGGCGCTATTCAAATAAAAATTTATTCATAATTATATGATAAAATTTTATCTAAATTATCTACCAACTTTAATTTCTGAATACATTTTTGTAAATAGAAGTTGCCGGACCATGCCTTATTTAGGGGATGGATCCAGGAACCTTTTTCCATTTTCTGTAAGATTGTGTGATAAAGAGTTTTTTATTGTTTTCTCAGAGAATAATAAATAAATAAATACAAAAATCTGGCATAATTAAGGGACTGATATCTATATGTGTGTGGACCTTGTGTGGACTGTTGGACCATTCTAGTTAGACATTTGATGTTAATTCACAAAAATACACAAATAAGAGCAATACATTTTATGCTGAATGAATAAACATCGTGTTTTTCTACAGCTTCTGATATGTCAGTGTACAGTGCATCCCTACAAACCAGTCACATGAAGTATCGTGATGCAACCATTTCATCTGGGAAGCATTCCATCACCCTCCAATGTGACAGACTAGTGTGGTCCACTCTGAGTTACTTACCAGAACATTTTTTAGCTTTATGTCTCTGTGCAGGAGACCTTGACTGTGCAGGAAGCGGATCCCCTCCACCACATCCAGTGCAATCTGAAGTCTGTCCTTCATCGATAAACCCGCCTGACACACAAGAAGCAGGACGACATGTTAAATGAAATCAGAGGGGAGAGAAAATAAAAGGTGGCAGAGTGAGAGATAGAAGACAATGAAACTTCAATGAAACTTTAATGAAACATTAATAGTGTTCCTTTTCTATCCACTGCCTTATCAACTCACCTTCAGGCCTGTGTAGAGGTCTCTGTGCAGCCGCTCCATGATGAGCAGCACAGCGATGCTGGAGCCGCCTGCGTAGGTGTGATCGATCACTGAGCCATGCAGGTCGACGAGCCTTTCATGCTTTGGCAAAGTCCTGAAACAACAGACACACACCCAATTCTTGTTTGTCCACATTGAGGCAGCGTAGCTTTACAATGAGCTGCATTATGCCAGTTGGAACAGACAAGTTCTTATGAGACACTGACACCTCTGATGTGCGCAGGGGACACAAGGCTTCAATACTCCAAACTAAATTTAGTTTTCTACTTCGAGTTTGATGTTAATAACAAAGCAGCTGTCATGTCCAATGAAAAGAGTTCTGCTCTTGATAAACCTGCTTGAGACATTTGACATTTTCTACGCTCACCTGACACAGGATTTCTGCTGAGCAGCTATTGGTACTCTTCTGTGTGATGATGTTTAAACTCACTCTTACTAACTCACCTTGTGTAGTGAAACTCTAAAGCCAGGTCATTCCAGTGTTTATCATCAGGTGGAACCACAGACTTTAAGGCACATGGGTAGTGTCCTCCCCAGCTGTCACACAAGTACACAACTCCGTACTGGCCTCGACCCAACTCTCTCCCAAGCTTAGGCTTACCTGTAAGAATAAAGAAAGTTTTTAACCACAAAGTAGAAAGAAAATCACATGCGAAGTAAAACCTCTTTCTCTAGAATTAGTAGTTTGCACATTTGTCTTGTACTTTAGGTTGATTAGGTTTCATGTTGTGCATCTCTCTAAATTTCTCTATAAAATATATTTTCTTACATGGAGTTAAAAAATGCTTGTTGTTAGTTCACTCTGCAGCATCATGTATGAACAGAGTTTGTCACTTTCACAAATTTCTCTGTGCTGCCGTCAAACCTGAGTTTTATACTTTACAGAGAAAGAGAAGACATCTTGTGTAGATTAGTTAAATGTTTGAAATTGAGAATATCTGTATATTTATATTATCTAAATTTAATGAAACTAGTGTCAGGAATGAGATAAAATTTACAATGATTGTTTTTCCAGACTCTGACTGTAATTTTGTTGTTACATGTTAACAAAGGAAGGATTTTGTGGTGACTCACCGTGCAGCAGAACATCACGTAGGGAGCGGCTTTCCAGAGACAGGCGGGCCAACCGAGGGGCGTGGTCCTTCCTCACACGCAGCCACAGGTCCTCAGTACGCTCCAGACGCCCTGTATGACCCTCCTCCAACTGCGAACATAAGAGATTGCATGCTCAGCATAAAGAGCTATGAACAGCTGTGTCTATGACCAGTGTCTGTCGTGACATTATTTACATTTTTAAGACGACTTATCACTGTGCTGATAGCATTGAGTACTGGTCCAGATTATTCAATGATTATGCAAATTAAAAATAAAGATGTTTATCCTGAGAACATCAAATACAGAGAAATAAATATTGTACAACTACTACTGCTATATAAATGACTAACAGTATATTTTTGAATCAGTATTTACTTTTTTCGTCTCTTCTTTGAACTACATAATTCAAACTACAGGTCAGCTGCCTTGACCTCTGTCAGTGTCGTCATTTGTCAAGATGATTTTTAAATGCACAGCTCTTGATACAGCTTCTCCTCAGAAGATGGATGACCGTCTTTGTAAATATTTTCATAAACTCCCTCCACGAAGCGAACCCCTGTTTGCTTTTTGTACAGCTGGAACTTAAGAGTAAAACAAACTTTTTCTCATGTGACATTCACACTGTACTTCAGGCTGCGTCACCATGTCTGCTGCCTTGACTGTACTTTATTTAATAATCAACATGTAAATATGGTCTGGGAATTTGACCTGAGCTGGTTTGTGTCCATCTACTCACAGATACTAGGCTAAAAACTATTAGACAATTGGGTGGTCATGGTGTGATCTGAGTGTTGAATGTCTTGTTTTCTTATATTCGACAGAGACACAAACTCATTTTGTTATTAGGATTATTCAACTTCATTGCACTAAATTACTCAGTCAGATACATAACTAAATGAAATCATAAGATTTCTGCACATCAAAAAAAACAAACAAAAAAACTACAACATCACTCCATCTATAAGACTGTCCTAACTGCTTTAAAATATAAGAATTTTGGAGCATGAAGACATAGTGAGTGATATGAGCCACACAATCATGTGATGATTATCATCAGAGCAATTTAACTGAATCTGATTTGTAAGGGACTTCATGGAGGGAGTAAAAGCTATTTGCACAATTGGGAAGCAATTCAAGTGAAGAGAAATGAATTAAACTGAACCACGAGATGTGCAGGGCCTGAAGTGACAGCCACACTAAGTTAACGCCTGACGTACATACTGCTCTAGAGTTTCAAACATCCACATCGCTTCCTAATTGGATATCAGTCCAGACAGAATCTCAACATTGATATGATATTACAAGACAGTGACAGTTCCACCTCATCATCGATCCAAGCAAACATATTAGCGTGGACGTGGCCATAGTAAGAGCCAACAAAAAGTGCCTGCAGAGATGTAACTCATGATATTATACAACCGACAAAGTGTTAAAGTACAAGAGACTCGAATGGCACTCAGTTGAGCACAAAGCTCCAGTGAGTCCCCCTAAATTCAATCTAGTTGCAACACTCAGATATCAGTTCCCTCAATGTTCCTGATTTTTCAAGTGAATTATTTCCTGGGAAATCAGTGGAAATGTCAAAATATGCCCTACATCAAAATGTTAAAGAAACTGATTTAAAGAAAGCCTGGATCATAATCTTGCTTACAAATCAAACAAACCAATAACCAAATGTACATCTAAAACATAAAATATCTATACCCCAAATTATTTATTTATTGGGGTACGGTTTCTGATTTTTATGAGCAAATGATAAATGATTCAACTAATTAACTCAAACAAGGAAGATATGTGTTCACCCCTCTGTTTGTTGGCTGGTTTGTTTGCAGGATTACACAAAAACTACTGGACACTCTAATCTTCATTAAACAATGTCTACTTTGTGGATCATCTCACTAAAGGGTTTCATGGCAGTGGATTTTTTTTGATTACAACCATAACTTCTTGTATTTGTCATTATAATAGTCATTTTAAGTCTTTAAACAAGGACAGTTTGTTGAAAGAGAGGAGGCATTTACTAAGTAAAGACAGTAAAGAAGAGAATGAAGGTAAACCTGGCGCAGAGATGCTGCAAAGGCCTCATGGGAACTGTTGAGGCGAGTCCTGAACTGGGAGCAGATGCTTCGGGCCAGTTTGGCAGCACTGAGGCTTTCTATGGCGTCCTGGGCCACTTTTCGCTTCCACTCTGGAGTGATGGCAGGAGGGTTCACGAATGTTATCCTGTGGATTATCTGAGAGGGAGACAAAAGGTTAAATGATAAAACACATCCTTTAGAAAGTCACAATTCAGAAAACATTTAGAAACTCCTTCTACAGAATGTTATAGACAAAGACCTGTTTGATTTGTTCCCAGACGAGTCGTGTGACAGAGGATCCTGAGTGAAATGTGACCTCCACATGATAGGCAGCATTTAATAACTGTGACAGACAAGAAACACAACACTGTAAATGTGGAGATGCAAGTACATTTTATATCTTAGTCGTCAAGCCTCTGACACTGAAGCTAAGTGAAGTTGATGGAGACTGAAATAGCATTTTTGTTTTTGTGATTATTAGTTCTAATATTATCATTTTTCTGACCCTATAATGAAACCTTTGTTTTGGTTTGGTTCTCTACAATACTATTATTTCATAGTGTACTCCCCAGTGTTTTCTTTGTAAAAATATAAATGTCAAATGGATCAAATGTTCCTTCTGTCTCCAGCTTTCTTCCCATTGGAATCATTATTATTGTAAAATGAAAACCTTACTGCAGTGATTAACACAAAACAAAATAATATAATAATACTGCTCACATATCATCATCTGCACACTATGTGCCTGCACACCACATAAGCTTCCAGTCGGTCTGCCCACCTGTTTGAGGTGATTGGAGGTGATATTGTGGACGTAAGAGTCAATGGTGGACTTTTCAAGACTGTTGAGGCATCTTTCCAGAGTTCCTACGAAGCTCTCCCTCAGATAATCCACAGAGCTGGTCAGTTTATTCGCCACAGCCTGATTCAAACGGACCACTATCAGCTCCTGGATCTGGTGGATGCAAGATTTGATCTCCTTTGACGTAACGGGCTCTCCATTGGTTGTTACAATGATGTCTGCAGTTGAAAGGAATTGGTCAATTATTGTGGCAATAATTAAATTAAATAAAAAACAGAAATTATTGATGACTGAAACAAAATGTAAAAATTTCTAGTAATAAAGTATATTTAGCTTACAACAAGTTTGTTCTTATTCAATGCATCTCATGAAATGTGTGAATTTCTACAATGGAAATCGTACAATGGAAGGGAAATAAATATTTTCCTTATTTACATATGGAAACAAAGGGTATAAAGAAAAGGTGTGTGTTGTAGAGGTTCTAAATACCCTTTAGACAGATTTGTGACTTATTGTTTTCAGCAATATGGACATTTACTCTTGCCTTTAAATTTAGGGTTGGTAATCCTGGATAAAGCTAGCAAGGGCAGGCGGCGAATGCAACGCAAATTCTCCTTCCCACCCCCTCCCATTGTCCCTCTCCAGTTACACCCACATGAATGTGCAATACATGACAACTGCTAGAAGCTGACGTTTCTGTGACACGCTCGCTAACTTCCAGCTTTTCATTAGGTCCAAACGAAATGATTGGTTGTGTTTATTACAGTCCTGTAAAACCCCTGACTCTGAATAGTCTTAAGTCTGGGTATCAAGCTTCAGCCATCTTCTTCAATACAAATAAAATAGAAAGAATCCTTTCTTATTTCTATCTTATAACTTGAAGTTGTAAGGGCAATTTAAATCAGGCACATGTGGTCATTGTTTAGTCATCAAATAGGAAACCAGTGTATCACATTTACTGGAGTCTATACAGTTCATGGGAAATCACATTTCCAAATTTGGAAAACATGCAACTTAATGACATGCTTCCAGTTCCAAGTACAGTATAATAAGCATGGTAAGAAGTAATTTCTCATTCTGAGAAGCCTGACAGCAGCTGACTGCCCTCACACATGGGGGCTATGCAATATGACATAAATCTCACATGTCCATATACATCATTTCATTTCCAAAAACATATCACTTGGAAAGGCCTGTTTCTCACGACATTACATATCTGCTTGGAATGTTAGCACCAACTCACAAACACTCCCTTCACAACGATGTCTTTGCAGATGTAAGTTGCAACTGAGGCTGTTCACTCCTTCCATCTATCTAATTCTTCGCCGTGTGGTAAATCTGCAAGGTCTGACTTTGTTTTAAGAGATTGACTGTACTTTAGACCCCCCATATGGTTTGACATGATTTTGGTGATAAAAAAGTGGTGTTTGAGGTTGTTGTGGCCACGTCAATGGGCTAGAGGTACTCCCTCTTTTAGGCATGAGCTCCTTGTTTTTTCTTGGCTGGACAGAGTAGTTCTCCTCTTTGGAATAACCATGTTCTGTCTCACGTTTACTCGCCTCCATGTTTGGTTGTGTTAACTTCATACAAAATTGTTTCATGCACCCATGTGACATAAAAAAAGCAAAGTGTTGCCCAAATGACAAACAATTTTGTTGTATAAAGTGTGATGTGCGACACATTGATGTTATACTACACTTTACTATGTGCAGTTTGTGCTCTGAATGTTATATGTGAGCACACCTGTGGATTGAAGTCCGTAACTATAAAATAATGGCTTTGAACTGTTCACGTGAAGCCAAATCAAAATTATGTCTTTTTAAATGTAAAGTGCCTTGAGATAATGTAAATTATGAATTGGCGCTATATAAATAAAATTGAATTGAATTGAATTGAATCAATTAAAGTCCTCATTAACCTGTAAACTCCAGGTTGGCAGCGTCCTCCAGTAACTGCTCCTTCATGCTGCCGAGTGTCTCCACAATCATCTCCTTCATCTCTTCCTGTTTGCGGTTAGCAATGGCCATAAGGGAGGTGAACAGTTCACCTTCTTTCTCACGGGTGTACTCCAGCCTGCGTGGTGTTATCTGCAGGTCCCTCTGCATGTCAAAGGCCTGCAAGAAAGTGGAGCAGAATGGACAAAAGGTCTCTTAAGACATTTTCAGACATGACCCCTGGGTAAAACCCGAAGAATTGGCTACGGAGTGTACCCACAGTTTGCCTTTCACACATGAACAACACAGTGGGGGGTTCTCTGCACAGATGTATTCACAACAGCAACAAATCCTCTGCATTATTCAGGTGAGCCGGGTGCAGCAGGCAGAGAGCGACATATTAACTCCACTGTGGGGATCACATGATTTTCTTTACAACACACAGATAACGGCGTCAGCACTCAACACCACAAACTCTCTTGACACCTTCTTTGGTGTTTTCTATGTGTATGACTAGCTCACGGTGAATCCAGTAGGGGATTCCCTGCTTCTCCTGAATTTCTTCGGACATTATACTAGGCCAGGTGGAGAAAGTCCACAGAAACTGTGCAGCCTCTCACTCTCGGCCATTTGTGTTCATGCATACGGAATCCGGAGGTTCTGCGGATTCCGTATGCATGAACACGGAGTTCAGTGCATGTCTGAGAGCATCTTTGGTGATTTATTTTGGGAGGGAAAGCTGTCTGAGACAAAGCAGTGGTAGTAACAACTGTCACATGACTCCTAAACAGTAAAAAAAAATCAGATTACACAGATGAACAGAGCTAGGAGGCATCATCCTCTGACCTGGTTGATGAAAAGATCTAGACATCGACAATGTATCCCGTTAAGCAGACTGGCAGCCTCCACCTGCTGGTTTTGAAGCACTTGGCGAGTGAATGGCACCAGCAACCGATGCAGTCTTTCAAAAGCCTCGCCCAGCGTGCTCTGGGGCTTGGAGCCTGGGGTGGACACCTGTGTAGGGGCACCACAGGTGCAGTTTCCTGACGGACTACTGAGGAACCCAAGGGACAGCAGCTGCTTGTGGAGGGCGCTCTTCTCTCTCTCTTTCTCCTTCTCTGTATGGCGGCCAGGTTCTGGGGAGGCTACTGGAATGGTGTGAGGGATACGAATAAAACAGATGGGAAAGAAGAGCAGCTCTTTGACCTTCCAGAGCTCTGCCACCTGCTCTGTGGAAAGAGAGTCCTGGTTGATGGCGTAGAGTATGATGGGGATCACGCTGCGAGTGCAGTCTTCCAGGGCCTCCTCAATGGGCTGGACACTTGGACAAGGCACCACCATGACCTTTGCTTCCTGTAGACAAACCACAAGAAGGTTCATTTTAGTCCAAGCGAACTGATTTATTTACAGGTGATTATTAGGAAATGTGGTTCCATAAAAAAAATTAATTTACCCAAATAATTTTAATCTGAGAAGGATATTACTGGATTTATTTGAGTTTTATGAAAATGCGACTGAATCAAAAGTAATTGAGTTGAATGGAACAGATTAATCCTTATTTTTGTAATAAAAATGAATAAGATGACTGTGTGATTTGTGTCAAGCCAACAGAAAATGATCACCCCACTCATGAGTTGCACTAAGGTCTAAGAAATTGAATGGCATCTTTCAGCTTTTGCTTTTTGGCACACAACTCAGACTCTCACTGTCATAACAATTGTTTCGGGCTGCAGGAGTTGACAAGAAGATGAGGAGCAGAAAGACAAAGTGACTAGTGAGTAAACATAGTGGAGCATTTAGCAGCTTAAGAGCTCGAATCGTCCTCCAGGAGTTAGTGGAAACCCAATTATGAGCAAAACGACAGTGTCTCCTGGACCTACACAAGTGGAAAGAAACTCCAAATGACTGATGATGTGTCTTTGTCTTCTGTCTGGTTATGGAAATAGTAGAGATTAAGCGATTTTTTGGGTGCTAATGCCAATATCAGTATTATATAGATTATATAGTTCTATATATAGAACTCATTTCAGATGTCTTGAAAATTAGTTGTATAATCAGTTATCATTTCACAAAAATCTGTAGAAAATATCAGATTTACAAACCAAACAAATTTTATATTTTAAAATTTTGAAAGGACTCTTTTATGTCTTGACAAAAATTACAATGTACAGAGGACCACATCTTAACAGCAAATTTATGACTCCTGTTATATAAAGTGTTCAGGCAATTGGGAGCACAGTTTTCAAACCAATTTATGCCAGTGCAGGAGGGAAAGCAACACATCCACACATATCACATGCCCCTGTACACAAACTGAGACATAAATATTTGTGGAGGTCTTGGGAATGTCTGTGACAGGGCAGAAAAATGACAGAAGTAAAAAAGCTTTGCTCTATTCCCTGATAAATAACAACATTAACAAAAACAAACTCTCATAGGACTTGGGAGAGAGACTATGACAGGGAAAAAGTCAGCCAGGGAAATGAGGCAGAAATTACCAGCAGCTGCACAAAGGAGACAGTCAGTCCTGTCTCCAAGGAACAAGAGCAGAGCCCATCTGAGCAGTGCCATTGGAACAAAGATAGCCTGCTAACATTTGTTCACACCCAGTCAAAATCAATGCGATGGTTTGAGTTGCCCTACTGCGGACCATTCGAAACAATACCCCCTCAGGAGAATATCCGTGGGCTATTTTGATGTTACTATTTTGTTTTTTGTATGGCTTCAAAATATGTGGGTATGAGCTAGCATTACGCTATCGTCTGACTCAGTTAAGTTACAGTTTTCATCTATTTGCATTAGGGTGGCTTCTGAGAGAAATACTGTTGTTTGCCACATCAATTTATCTCAGTCAGACAGTGTGCAACCTGGGAGCCCTTTCAAACTAAATTAAGCCAGAGGCAAGAAAAATTATGTGAGTGATTCTTGCCTTTGTTTTGATAACAAAGTTAAGATGGTTGTTAGCTCCTGCTTCTTCCAACTTAAGTTAATTTTAAAGATTAAATCTCTTTGATCATCTGAGGACTTAAACATGCCTTTATTTCTTCACAGCTGATTTATTTAGGCTTACCTACGTCACCTTCAACTGGTCAAAAGAGCCGCTGCAAGGATTGTAACTGAAAACTTTATAAAATAATACCATTTGTGGCCTGTTCTCATTTTCTTATTTAAATTTCATTATTGACTTTTAAGGCTTTACCAAACCAGGCCCATACATATCATGTATTAAGAAATTCAACATCATCAGCCGATAGTGGACTGACCCGAAACTGTGGACTGAATTAGATTCAGATTTTCTATATCTGTCATTGCTGTTAAATCTAGGGCAGGGGACTAAATTAACATCAATAATTATCTCAATGTAATTTTCATCAATGGCGATAGAGCAAATGTTCAATATATATTGATATATTGCTTATACATTGTGTGAGCACAGTGAGGAGGTATAACACCTAATTGCTCAACCCCAGATTAGTAAAATATTTTGCTGTTTATCAATTGATTGTCACAATCTGCTTATAAAGAGGAGTTTAAAACTACAACCTTCACTCAGGAGTCTTGAAACATGAAATAAATATGTATTTATGATGTGTTTTGGCCATATTGTCCAACACTATCTCTTCTTAAAACTTTTGATTAAAAAAAACAAAACAATATATCTGTGTTATTTGAATTGATTTTATTAATGTTCTTCTTCATCCTTTTATGAGGCATTTTGTAATTTTGTCAAGAGCTGCGCTTTAAAAATAAAGCTCAGCCATATTTCTATCGCTATAACATCACAGCTCTTTGTTAACATGCAGACTGCCGTGAATTCACAGAGCCCTGGCAATGAACAGAACAGAATACCTCAAAGAATTTTAGAAACATGGCGATAGATTAGCACCCTATAGTTCCTCGTGGTCAGTGCGAGGTTAAGTGGGTAAACTCTTGGATGAAGAGAAGCTAATTAGCCACTTGGTACTCATCTGCTGGCCCCTAAAGCAGGGTGCTGTGATTATAGCAGTAGAGTGTGAATACCACAGTGAGCAGAGAGATTCTGTGCCTTCATTTACTCTTACCTAGACAACCTAATCCCTTATTCCTTCAACAAAGAATGGTCGCTTTAGTTATTACTTAGCTGATGAAAATGTACAGATCCACAACCATCCAAATGATAAGGAAATTATCGCTTGTACTGTGGATTGTAGAGAAAGAGAAAAAAGTAAAAAAATTAAACATCTTCAAATAAATCAAATAAAGCTCACACTTCATTATAAATATGTAATAATGCAAACATTAATCCCTGAGGTCCTCTGAAGTTTCACAAACCTTTTGCCTCAATAAGGATACAACAGGTCCACAACTTTCAGTCATGCATGAAAACAAGAATGTCACTCAGTAAAGCACATTCATTTTCATCAATATCCATGAATTATTCCCTGGCAAAACTGTGACAATGTTGAAAAACATCTCCAAATGCGAGAGAATAAGAATAGGATCCACAATGAAGATTAATGGGTTTTTCCCCTTCCAATACGTTTCCTGGGAAAATGTGTTCACTTTTTTCATGTAATCTTGCTAAGAAACAAATAAACAAACAGACAGGGGAGAAAACATAACCTACTTGGTGGAGGTAATGAACATTAGTGTAATAACTGTTTTTACTACCACTGCTGTTACAGACTACTAAGACTACTTTTTCTGTTATTTGTTAGTAACCTTTTATTTCATGAGATAAGGCTTAAGTTAACTATTTTAACCTACTATTTGGCGAAGAAAGTAATGCAAAGTCCATATCCTACATTTTACCAAACAATGTTTAAAATGTACTAACACAAGGAAATATGACACTAACCAATGTGTTATATGAATACTAATTACATTACTTATTATAACTAAATCTACAACATTGATCAAACGTGTGTGTGCATGATGAGAGTAAAACATTTGTTTAAAAAAAGTTATCGACAGGTTTTTTTCTATTAGCACAGCTCATCGCTATTCAAAAATAAAAAGCCAAAAAATGTTGTGACAGCAGGAACAACCCAGTATCCCAGAATTCCAATGTAGCCATGGCAACTTCATCACAGAAAATGGTTTGGGATTTTATGTACATGTCCCAGTCATGTGAATTGCACCAGACCACTAGCATTACGTAAGAGGGCTGGGCGGATGGGCTGCCCTGAGGCAGAGCTCGGCCTAGTTTCTGGGGCTGTGTGATGCTCTCTGAGGGGCCTTGGTCTAAAGGATTAGAGACTAATTTCCACGTGTTGCACATGATAAGGAATGACTACAATCCTTACACCATGCTAAATCAATTCCTTCCCACAAGATTTTCAGGTCGCACTGGCTAAAAACCAGCATGACTGAATCACTTTGTCCAACAACTCTCTCAACAATTCTTTTTCAATGGAACTTCCACATGCACCTGAGAGTCTAATTCTCAGCAGCACTGAATAGAGGAAAAGTGACTGGAAAAATGTTTTTCCCTGAAGTGAAGTAAAACACTGACAACACAGGAAATAATCAGTTCTGCTCAGTAATCTGTTTGTGAGCTTAGGCATGTGTGAATTCAGGCTGGTTCAAGCCAGAGACAATGATGAAATTCATCTTTCTTTTTGTGCGGGGGCTACAAGAGGAAATACCACCACACAGAAAATAAACACACACTTAGGGCCAGGCCATGTGATTGAAATCAGTGTCATAAATTTAAGGACCATTCTTTCCATTCTGTTGTCCAGTACAACACAACATGACTTTCACATGCAAACTGCACAACATACATAATGATAGTAGATTTTTGTAAGTATACCATTTTAACTGTTCCAAATTATTTTAATACAAAAATATTAAACTTTTACTTGTATTATTTATTTATTATATCATCACATGAAAAATACAGATTGCTGTTCTTATAACTGAGGACCATGCACAGGCTGCAGTTTCTGCCCCAAGAATACAAATGTGCAAACATTTCCCTGAATAACATGAATACTATAAATGTTCTATAACAAGGATGGTTGTGTGCACATCCAACAATCTAAAACATGTTACCATGTTGTTTCTTTGAAGTTTTTGTTAAAGGATAGGATGCTTTTAATGGATTTCTGTCTAACAAAACAACAACACCAAGCTTCTACCTTGTCTCACCTTCATTCTGAATCTTCTCCCAAAATACTGCAGTGAGCAACATGATCATATCATCCACCTCTAGACAGTCTGAGTAAAAGTATCAAAGCTCATGAGGAGGATACAAAGCAATGGCAGTCAGGACCAATACAATATGGCTGAATGTTGACTCCTTTTTTTAAACCATGATGGGACATAGTGCTGCCAAAGAAGATTTAGAATTATTACTTTGTATCTGAGGCCTACCTGTAGCAGCGGGTGATGCAGGGTGATCTCTAGCTCTGCCAGCCTGTGTGCTGGGTCCTCACACTCCTCATGGATCTCCAGGTCCTCCCTTGGAACTGTATCCCAGCGGCCACAGTTAGCTGCCAACTGGTGCACCAGTTCATACTGGCCGGGCAGAGCCAAGCTGAGCCGTGTCTGTCTCCCATGCGTGAAACACAACTTTCGCCTCTTGCAGACAGTGCCCTGGACTCCTTCACAAGCCTCACCGGCCTCAGGGCCCAGCGGTAGCAGCCTTTCCCCCAGAAGGCAATTGAGCAGCTGGTAGCGGGCAGCACAATCCTGGCCCAGTACCAGGATGTACGGGGTAGCACCGACTGTGTTGCGTAAAAACTCTTCCTCATGGCTCGGGAAGGAGATGCAGCTAAACTGGCCTGAAAAAAGTACAGGTTGTTAAGATGTAGACTGTGGTTATTTAAAATGTCTTCAGTGACCCTAAACAAAGGTTATTCACTCCTGGAATTCTTAGTCAGCAGAAATATGGCCATCTAAACCTTATCCTTTGTATCTGAACCTCACTCTCAAAATACACAGTGGCCAACTGTTCAAAAATAGCTGTATTAAAATATTATAAAGTTGATATTCCTTTGGTTATTATTTCCTGATCTGGCTCTGAGATGTGGATCAAAAACAGAAAAACCAATTCACCAAGACTATGGGAGGGTATCAGACACAGTCCTCAGTGATGCTGACTCATCGTCTAAAGACAGTTATAAAACAAGAGGAGGAGAAAGCATTGATGACCTACTTCATATTCACACACCAGTGTGTTTCTTTCTTTGTAACATACATTTGGTTTTACTCTAACTCTAATTTAGAATTCCTCTGCTTGTAATCACCTACTGGCCTAACATGACACCTTTACAGCCCATTGTTTCAGACCAACCTGTGCTGAGTGTTTGACTGCATGACTTGTGAGCAGTGGACAGACTGTGCTGAACCTGCTTATAATCTCTACAAAAATACAATCAAACCATATGCTCAGATCCAGCAGTGAATTTTTTAGTGTGTGTAACCAAGACATTTGTAAAAAATGTATCGAGTTAGCAGGTGAAGACATGTGTTTGACTTTTCCTATGAAAGGCAGCATTATGGTCCCATTTTTTCTTAACTATGACTATAATCTTCGGCTTAACATTGTTCATTCAATGTTGGGGGAAATGATTTCAACCTTCTCTTTGAGTAGGACACCCGCACTGGTGGCTTTAGCCACTCCTGGGGATGTGACGCATTAGAATTGATCTGCATACTATTTATACTATGCACTTAAACCATGTTTCATAGAATTGAGCAATTATATCATATTGCGAAAGAAAAAGATCACAGTGCTGATTAAATCTTTTGACAAATGGAGCTGTGAAAAACATTTTTAATAAATGAGGTGATTGCAACGAACAAATGTGATTAAGCAAAATGGTCATTTTAAAGTTGGACTTCAAGTCTAAAAGTAAACCTTATCAGGCAGTTACACACAGTAACACTCATACATACAACTGGCATGAAAGACCAGAATGAGTGCCTGACAGCCCATGACCTCAGCCAGTTAGAGAGCACAGAGATCTCAGCATATTTGGAGCACTTAGTCAGCTCATGCTTTTGAAAGGGGGCTTAATCTCTTTAGTTTTCCCCAACCCTAATTAATGCATTTTTCTCAGTCTGCGTGTTGGCGGAGAAACCACTTGCCAATGGGCAACCTGTCAGATCGGTCACGATGGGTCACCACAGAATAATATAGTTTAACCGCAGAGCTGATTGGGCCATGTAAGTGCAGTTGCATGCAGGTGTATCCAGATGTTGCTGCTGCAGCTGCATGCGTTGTTTCAGACCTACCTGCCTCCAGAGAAGCTGAATCCGAGCTCATGGTGGATGCACAGGCATTGCTGTAGTTTTGTCTGATTTCCCGGAAGAAAGAGTTGGTCTCCTTCAGGTTCTTCTTCAGCTGGATGGAGTGCTTGTTGTAGCTGTTGAATATCCTCGTCAGCTCCCGAGATAGAGGGGTCGCTTTCTGTTGCTGTACATTTCCCTCCATGTTCGACGGGTCGGGCTGTTATAGTGATATAGTCTGAAGTTGTGAGGCTCAAATCAGTCCTGGTATCACACCTTCTTCTCTCCCTGCTAATTACTTTGTAACCATGTTTGTCCCCCTGCTAGGCTAAGCTAAACACATCACAACCTAGCCACTTAGCTTTTACATGTTATGAACATTAGCTTGTCACTACAGCCTGTTGTGTCAGTGAACACGGGTTAGGCATTTAGCTTTTGTTGTTATGCACAGCTAGCTTAGCTTAAGGTCGTGCCACGGCTAAAGGATAATTAGTTTTTTTATTAATAATGAGCGAACCAAGTTATCGCTTCTTCGTCATCTTGTGTCTGTTATTGTTTCTGGTTCCCATCGACCGTCTCACTGACAACAACAGAGGGAAGTGTAACAAACAGAACTATAGATGACGTTTTGACGGCGGACTAACGCGCTAAGTAATCCGTGTTTCGTGGCCCAGAAGACGTTGTGGCTGCTAACCAGAAGACATCCCAGCTCCGTCCTCGTCTTGGCCTGGCACGGGACGCATTGCCTCTTAAATCGGCACCGACAGCCCCGGACTCGGTTTCACATCCATACAGCTCTGCGTAAGGAAGAAGGGGGCCGACTTTGACAGCTGCCTCTTTACTGACAACTACGCACGACCAGAAAAAACGTTGCCCGGTGAGGCTCCGTGGGAAAGAGACTCTGGCTCGAAGCTGTCGGCGGTCCACCCCCAGAGAGAGACCGCTGAACAGAGCCCGGCAGTGTTGCTTGTTTCTGGGAGGATGAAGATGAAGAGGACGGTCGGTGGCGGTGGTGCAGGGCGAGGTGTGTCCGAGCCAAATTACATCGCTGAGGCCGAGCAATCAAATCACTGCAAAACACAAAAACCCACCACACAAAAGTTAGGGAGAGGAAAGGGCGGGGTCCGCGCGCACAGCAATCTGGGAAATGTAGGACCGCTCATGTGGTTGGTTCAGCTGCAGCTACAGAACCATCTGGGTTCATCACATTGTTATAGATGTTCGCGGTGATTTAAAAAAGTAAACTGAATTTGTAACACATGATGTTGCAACACATGATCTCCCGAGTACCAAAACCTGTTCTGCTACTGTAATCATTGTTTTTATTGTAATTGTACAATATGTTTCTGTTGCGTTGTTATGTACACGTGACATCCATTGCACATCTGTCCGTCCTGGGAGAGGGATCCCTCCTCTGTGGCTCTCCCTGAGGTTTCTTCCGCCTTCTTTTCCCTGTTAAAAGGGTTTTTTGTGGGCAAGTTTTTCCTCACTAGAACTGAGGGTCTAAGGACAGAGGGTGTCACTACCTGTACAGATTGTAAAGCCCTCTGAGGCAAAATGTGTTTTGTGAATTTGGGCTATACAAATAAAATTTGATTTGATTAGATTTGATTCTCATGCACATACTGATTACATGAAAGATCACTATTCCCCTAAACACCAAGACAACAACTAGCACCGTTAATAAGCAGATTTGATATTGTAAGTAACCCATTAGAAATTGGATAGCGATTTTACAGGCAAACAATTGATAACTATTGTTTGTATTTTTATCAAATTTAATGATAATAATTCTTCTTCTTCATCTTTCGGCTGCTCCCTTTTCGGGTTCACCACAGCGGATCATCTGCCAATATATCCACTACCCCTCCTATTTGTTATCCGCATGTTTGTTTTGGCACAAGTTTTAGGCCGGATGCCCTTCCTGACGCAACCCTCACCATTTATCCGGGCTTAGGACCGGCACTAGAACTACCCTAAAGAGTATTCCTAGTGGCTGGTTTTGATGATAATAATTGTTGAGCAAAAAGATCGCTGGTGTCAGATTCCCAAGCAAAAATATACACAATGTGCTGACTGACGTACATGCAATGCTGAAATTAATATATGCAACTCATGCAAATTTGGCGTCATAAACACATAAGTCTTTACATTTGTCCACGGGTTGTACCCAACAGTGGTTTAATGGCCACTGAGAGGCTGATCCCATTTTTCCTCAAGCTCTGTGAATATATACATATATATTCACAGAGCTATATATATGTATATATATATATATATATATACATATATATATGTAATATATATATGACTGTAATATATATATATATATATATATATATATATTACAGTCATCCCCCCTTATATCCCTTTTCTCCTCAGGATATTTCTTCAGGAACTATTTTTATCTTCACCAGGATCTAATCTTAACTGTACCGGGAATTTATTGTAAAACATCTTAATCCTAAAAATATCCTTGGAAAGATAATACACTTCTAAGACATTTCGTAGAGTTAGAGGTGACTACGGGCATCTGTACTAGGAAGTTTTATGAATATGGTCCCTGATAGTGGTGGAGTCATTGCTTGAGGGAGAGCAGTGTGGGTTGACATGCTGGTAGTTCCTCTTTTAAAATACTGGCAATAGTTGGTCAGTCCCCGTTATTGAGTCATGCTGTGTCAAAGTTATGTAAAATACAACAATAAAACCATTATCTTGATGATACATGTCTTACACTGCCATTTACTCAGTCCCTCGATTTTGTTTTACTGTCTCATCATTTTGACTAATTCATTTGATTTCTAACTTTTCATAGTTCTCCTATTGTGGTAGCTCCCAAGAAGATTCCAAGAAAAGTAAGGCAGGTTTAAAAGAAAATACTTATAATTCATGCACTTGAATTATTATTACTTTACTATTACTTCTTAAATTCATATGCAAATATTATTGATTCCAGTGTATGAGCATGTGTGGAAAAGGAACAAGATACATCTTTATTGTGGGTTGTACATCAGCATTAAGATTAAGATTCCTTTATTGTCCCACAAATCATGCAACAACACACAACTACATGCAAATTAGGGAAATTCGGTCTCCAGCAGATCCAGGTCTGGTCCATCTAGTGGTACACGTACCATCCTCAGTCTTGAACCAGCAACCTTCAGTCTGATTAGTGGTCCACTTAGTCTACCGCATAGTGGATCCTGCCCGAACAGGATTGTGATTAGGGTTAGGGTCGTGGTTAGGGTTAGGGTTAAAAATGAAAACCCATTGGAGATCAATATATTCTTCTATGACCTTTGGAAGGGGACAAACCACTGAATATATAAAAAAAAGTAAAAGATATTTTTGAATAACTTTCCTTCTGAAAGTCGTAGAGACATTTGGGGCATTTCATGAATAATAAAAAGGAGCCAGCCATGCACCCACACCGAATTTCAGCAATTTTCAAGCAAGCAGTACAGAGTTATTCACCATATGGTGAATATGGGTTAGGGTTGAAATTAGGGTTAATATCTTGTCCTTTTTTTGTAGATTTGGTGGTTTCAGCATTTCCGAAGGTCGTAGAAGCTCGGGGATGGTCCCAAATGGATCGGGCAGAGCCACATTAGTGGAGATGGAACAAAATTGCAAGTCTCTATGACCTTCAGAAAAAAGGTTATTGAAGAATATCTTGAACTCCTATAGGT